TACGTCGCAAAAGATGGCGCTTCAGATGCTTCAGGTGCAGGTACGTTTTGTTGCAATGTGGGCATTCGTACTTGCCATCCGCGTTCTTTGTCGCAGTGGTGGGTGCCTTGCCTGCGGCAGGAGCTGGCCGGCCAGGGTGTGTAGGCAGGACTCCGCGACGACCTTGCTGACCGACAACGTGTACGGGCTCAGGCTCCTGATTCGCAAGGACAGGAGGGTGAGGGTACAGCGAGGGGTGGTTCATGCCCATGCCAGGTGTTGGCCCGCCCAGCTGGTGTGTGTTGTGTTGAGCGGCGGCGGTAGGCAGCAGAGGCGCCTGCGAGTATGCCGACGACATGGCACCCATGTACGAGGGCGACGGTTGGATGGGCCTCAGCGGCGGGTGCTGGAGTGGGGGCATGGTGCTACTGCCATTTGGCGCAGAGGTTACAGGCGTGTGAGGCGGCTGCGGCGTCTGGGGGTTACTGTGGTGGCCGCCGTACAACGAAGGGAACGACGCAGCGCTGTGGAGGGGAGGCAGCGTGGGCAGAGACTGCTGCGCGCCATTGTACGACTGCTGGGCGAGGCCCTGATACTGGGGCAGGCCGGGCTGGCGGAAGCGGTCGGGGGCATCCATGGCGGAGGGATCCAGTGGGCTACGCGGACGGTGGGAGCGGTGTTGATGGGGGAGAGACGCGACCAATTGGTGTTGTCTGTGACGATCTCATTCGACGAACCCTAGGTTCGAGCGACGCGAGCGACGGGTGCTAATGCGCCGACTGGGCAGCACAAGAAGGGTTGGATGGGGGCGGAGGTCCACGAAAGAAGAAGCCTTGTGGAGCCGTGTGGGGGAGTGAGGTGAGGAGACTGCAGATACGCGACGGCAGCTACTCGGTGAAGGGAACGCAGGCAGATGCAGTGCCCACAGTTGTCTGAGAAGGGGTGAAGAGTCGTGGCGACGGCCTGGGCTGGCGGTCAGGTGGTGATGGGGAGAGTAGGCTGCGAGCTATGATGAGGTCTCTGCTCGGACGGATCTCTAGCGAGCCAGGGACTGCGGCGCGTGTGTGTGCGGGCGATCGAGGGAGGGCCCACTTTCAGCCTCCAAAAGCGATAAAGGGCAGGTGCAGGTGGAGAGCAGGAGGCACGAGCAGTTAGGCAAGTGAGACCCACGGAAAGCTGTCGAGGATGGGGTAGGGACTGGAGGAGGGGTGATAGGCAGTGAAACTACGTCGGCGAAGTTTTTTGCGCGAGTGAAGAGGCAGCGACGCCGATGTCCCGCGCACGATTCCTGCTTCTGTGCTCACGTTGGTGGCCGGGTCTTGCCGGAGAGGAGGTTGTGCCTGAACGAGAGTGTCTGTGAGGGTGCAAGAGAAGTGGAAAGGGCAGCGATGAGGCCCACTAGAGGATTTTCGAAACAGCGGCAAGCGCGTTCGGGTGCGCAGGCTTACGGAATTATGTTAGGGGGGATGGCAGCGAGAAGACGGGCGGAAAACAAGAGCCAGCATTACGACAGACACGTGATGCAGTTGACGATGACTTTTCATGTACGTGCGAGCTGGTGCTGCTTTCGCGATGCCATCCTCTTCTTCCCAGTGAGGAGGCGCCCCCTGCAAAAGCTCGTCACAGCCTGCGATAGGCTGTTTGCTATCTGCTAGCCATGCAGCGCGCCCGATTGTCATGTTGTATGTAATCCCTATTATTCTATTCTACGCGCCCTTTGCGCTACTGAGTCGCGGCGACTTCACCCAGCAGTGTCTGGGGTTGTGCTATGAATCGATGTCCTCAGCGTGCAGTTTCATCCCGCCACGGACGCACGGCAGCAAATCGATAAGAGCCTCAATGCCGTTAGGCGCTCCGTCATTCGGTAGCTGCATCAGCCAAGTCTGTCACGCTTGCGAGTTTGCTACAATTTGCGTACCAAGCAGCGTCTGCTCTTTGTCCATCAGTCGCCGGCATCTTGGTCGCCACTCGATTGTGCAAAACTTTGCTTATTTTCAACGACTGAGTCGACAAGGCCTAAGCAACTGTGCCGAACGATGTGCTGCGGCTGTGGTCCGAGGGTCATCCTGTTTCCGCAGCCGATGAAACTGAACGCGTCGCATGGCAGCATCTGTTGTTTGTTTCTTCTCGAATTGCAGGACCTCGACGGCGATCCTGTCCGCCAGCGCATCCATCGCTGCTCAACTGACGATATTCGCCATTGGTGCTGCTCAATGTGCCGTCGCCCAGCTTCTCAACGCAAGTGAAAAGTTTGGGAAGGAATGACGTGGATCGGAGTTTAGCTCGAACCAGGGTACCTTGTCACAACGGCTTCCATTCGGACATTCGGTCTTCCTTCGCGGAACCAGACCGCGGCCTTTCTGGAATGCGTCGAAGCCTCTGTGCAGCGCGCCTCAGCAGCGAAACCGTTGGCGCTGCAACGCGAGTATGCCCTGGTCTGCGAGCACAAGTGGGAGGCCTACTCATGCGCACCTGCTCGTTTCAACCAAGAGCTGTTGAATAAGAATATGTCCACCCAAGCCCAGCTTATGCACACTCGTGTGCAATCCGGTTAGCGTACCTTGTCGACGATACCAACAAGTGCTGCGAGCTGACGATGTCGCATCTCAAAGCGGCATCCCGACCGCGGCGCCGGCCATTGATCTCATAATGTGACACATCCGTTGCTCGCACGACCTGAATGTCACCCTGCAGCAGCCGTTGTTTGCAGCTTTTGCGTTGCATTTTGCTCGGCTTGGCATTATATTGCCATTCAACGCGTACTTGTCAAGCCGACGCCTTCCGCTTCGGCAGGAACAGTTGGCCGACTAGACTCGACAGACTCGACAGAGATTTCTCGTTACCTGTAGTCGTGCAGTTATGACAGCTGTTCGTCATGCTGTGCCAGTTCAACGTGTGTGGACGGTACATGGCTCGGCTACGCGCGAGCGTGCCCCCACGTGCTCATCCCACTTTGCTGCAGGGTATGTTGATGGATTGCCTAGTCAGTGCTGTGCCTCTTGGATCTCTCGCTGTTCTTGCACTTTGCCCGACGCCATGCCCTGCTAAATCTTCTCGACGCTCCCAGCACCCTGGTGCGCTGGCTGATTCGCAGGGCCAAGTTCTGTCGCAGAGACAAAGTTCTGCGACCCAGGGCGGCCCTGAGAGGACAGACGACTTCTTCGACGAAGTTCAAATAAGCTCAGTCCCACCTCACGGTTGCATACCCGCATCTGGGAGTGGATGATTTCGGTTATGGGCAAAGAGTGGGCTGTCCGCTTCCACTCACCTCGCAACTCGACTCGGAAGGACCGGCGAGCCGTGGAGCGAGAGATGTCGTGCAGCTCACTGGCTTGGCCCAAGACGACGGGCACCCTGTCTGTGGCCACCTCATTTGTGTGAAACTCCGATCACAAGTACCGCGGAGGACAGGCAACAAAGTCGGTGAAAGAATCGAATGGCCGGTCAGTGCAGCCCGGTTTGGCGTCGCGGCACCGGAAGAATCCTTCCAGCGAATTCCAGGGGGCTGGGCGAGGCTGTACTGCACCCGATAATCCTCGACCGACCAGCATATGGGAGGCCTGATTCAGCCCTATGTATAAAGGGACATACAGTTCAACAACCACGTAAGATCTTAACGTCAAAATTTGATAATAATTTCCTGGCGAGCCTCTTCTGCCTACTGCTGTTGTATCTTGTAGATGCATGGTTTTTTTGCAAAGTAGTAGGTGCTATGCCCCTTGCAACGGGTATGCGCCCCACAGACGCTGGTCGGTCGAGGATTATCGGGTGCAGTAGGTGGCCGAGTGTAAGCGGTCTGCGAACATCCGATCCCTATCCGTTTCGCACTGTGCTCGCCGTGGCCGCCTCGTCGCGAGGCTGCTTTGTCGGCGTGCAACGTCACGCCTGCCGGCAGTTGAGTGCGAAACCGAAAGCCCATAACGCGTGTGGTCCGAACGGAGCCTGTGTCAGCCTGTCTCAATAGGTAGTGCGCTGCTCATCTGTACATGCGCAAGACGACACAGTATTGCTGGCTGCTCGTTCGAGGTATTCACCATTGCATGCACGTCACGACATCGTAACTCCAGGTGACGCTCGGACAGGCACCGAGCTTTCTAGAACAGCAAAGGAACATTCTGCACAGCAACAACATTTGTACATGTCGCCTCACCACCCTGCTCCGTGACCACAACCCCCAATGAACCCCTCCAGGCACCTGTTTTCATTTTCGCGACTGCGCCCGCCTCTCCAAGCACGAATCCACACGCGAACAATGGCATCCAACGCAAACACAACCGCCATACCCCGATCAGAATCACAATCAGATTCCCAATCCCAATCACAACCCCAATCAGAATCACAACCCCAATCAGAATCACAACCCCAACCACAATCAGCCTCCCAACCCCAGTCCCAGTCCCAACCAGCACCAGAACCCCCCCACCACCACCCCTCCGCGCCCCTCCCCCTCCCCGCGCCCCCCACCGCCGGCGCAACCCCCCTCGACGTCAACGGCGCGGGCGTGCGGCTCGACCACCTGGGCCCGCTGGTCGTCAACAAGGACGGCTCGCTCTCGCGCATCGCGAATTGGGACACGATGGCGGAGATTGAGCGCGCGAATACGCTGAGGGTTCTGGGGAAAAGGAATCAGTTGAGGTTGGGGGGGTTGAGGGGCGAGGGCGGGGGCGAGGGGGGGATGTAGGGGGGATGGGATGGGGGGGTAGGATGAGATGGGATCTGTGAATGGTGGAAATGTGATGGATAATGGATGATGGACGGATGGGTTTTTTGGTGGACTATGGTACGGCGTCTCTTACAACTCGCAGTGCAACAAGAATAAATATCTTTCATCTTACACCCCGTTATTACACTACTACAAATATCCCTCTAAACCCTAACCCTAATAAACTCTCCCACATCCCGCTGTTCAGCACAACCCACGAAGTAAATTCCCCTCCCCTACCCCAGCAATCCAGCAATCCAGCAACCCCTTGAACTCTAAATATAGACTCTCTACTCCACATAAGGAGGATACAAAACAAGGTTCGATGGTGTAGTTGGTTATCACGTCAGTCTAACAACTGTTAGCGCACTGAAGGTCTCCGGTTCAAGTCCGGGTCGAATCATCTTTGCCTGTGGCACGTAACCGCACTTGCTGGATTTTTTTTTTCGGCGTGTTGCGCTGCAGAGTATGGGATGCAGAGATGTGGTGGGTGGAACAGGGGGATGTGGGTATGGAGTGAAGACATGTATGTCGCAATCACAAAGGGTGGTTTGTATTTTGATATTTCTTTTTCCTTCGCTACACGCACAGCAGAGAGAGGAAAGTCACATTCGAATCCGCTGTGAAATATCCCGCCGACATGTCTGCGTCGACAAAACCCATTCGCTTCTTGCATATGCATATGCCCTTAACACCGCTCTACCACTAGACCCCCCCCCCCTCACATTCTCACGCACGGGGTGTACCCGCACTTGCCCCCTGCGATATGAGCGCGAGGGGGTTGTCGCGGAGAACCATGCTCTGCTGCTCGATCAGGGTGCGATGGGAAGCACGCGGATCTGTTGTCTGGGCTGGGCGGGCGGTGTGTTATCTGCAGGACGAGAGTGCGGTGGTGGTGGTAAGTGCTGCGTGAAGGAAATGAATACGGGGTGACTGTGGTAACGGTGGGATGGTGTCTGCTGTGCAGACGGAGTATTGATTTGATTTGGTTTGGTCTGTAGGACGGTTTCAGACAAGGCGCTGTACACTCTGTCCAGTGTCGAGCGCGGACTTGTCATATGCGTCTGCCACAGTCAGCTATGGCGCGCAGCAGAGAGAAAGACTCACAGATCGCCCATCCCTTACAGACTTAGGGCACACCAGCCCGCGCGGCACTGGGTGCGCGCGAGTCCTCTTGTGTCTGTCTCCTTGCTGTGTCCTTCACTTCAGCTTCACACCCTCCAGTGTCTGCTCCACCACAGGTATGTGCTCCGCCAGGCGGTTCGGGTCGCGCATGATGGCGAGCACGTCCTCTTTCCTGCCTGCCAGCTTCCGCCTGACGTCCTCATATTTTTCCTCCCTCGCGGTGTACTCGCGTATGACATGGCCGGTGGCGAACTCGACGAAGACGCGCGTGTCGCGGATGCGGAAGACGACGTCGTCGAGGCGCATGAAGAAGCGCACGAGCAGCAGCAGACGCGCAGGCATGACCCTGATCTTGCACGACAGCATGGCGATACCGTTGTCGGCCAGCTCGTCTTCGTACAGGACGACCTCGTCGAAGAAGTGAATGGGGTCCGGGCGGCGCAGGAGGGCGAGCGGGATGGGGGTTGTGGTGGGCTCCAGGCGCGGGACATCTGGCGTGGTGCCCTTGTAGTCGGTGCTGTAGGACCAGTCGAAGGGCTTGACGACCTCCTTGATGTCTTCGAACTGCTTCTGGCGGTTCTGCTGCCACTCCTTGGAGTACGAGACTTTGAACATGTGCTCGCCCGTCTTGTCGACGCGGTCCAGGGCGTCGAAGGCGTTGAACTCGATGAACCAGCCGCTCGCGGGGTGCTCGATGCGGGCGAGGTTGTCGCCGAAGATCATCTCGGGCGGGGTGATGCCCAGGGCCTTGGTCATGTCGTCGATGGGCCCGGCCTTGAGGATGGGCAGCTTGCGCGTCGTCACGGTGAAGCCGTCCTTGGTGATGGACGTGTCGGCGTGGCCGGGAGCCACCGTGTCGGCGGGGGCGCCGTTGAGGGTGGCCATGGTGAGGCTGTCGCTGGCGGTGCGTCTGCTGCTGGAGGTCGAGTGGGGTGGGGCGGGGCGGCATCTGCTGCTCCAGCCCATCGCCCTGGCAACGGGGCGCTTGTTTATCGCGAGGCGCCGGCTGCCCAGCTTCCCACCGCCGCATCATCACCCAAGCGACGCAGGCCATCGCCAATAGCATATGAGCATATACTAACAGCACGTGTCAGCTGGCCTCGACTACTTGAAGTACCTCAACTACTTGACCCCGTACCGCGTCCCCTCGTTCATCCGCGCACCCGCCCCGTCTGCAGCACCATGGCCGAAGTATCCCACCTCGAGGCCGCCTTCGAGCGCATCACCGTGACGGACGAGAATGAGGAGCAGCTCGTCTCGACGGCCACTTACCACAAGGCCAAGGTAGCCCCGTCTGCACCACTGCGCCTGCCTGTCCCTAACAAGTCCAGGCCCCGTTACCCACGCCCGCTGCGCTGACCGGCCTGTCGTCATCAACCTCCGCGGCAAACCGCATGAAGGTGCCACTGCAGAAGCTCGCCGCCGTCAACTCCAGCAAGCTCGTCAACGCCACAGTTGCCAAAGCCGCCGCCGCCACACAACCACCACGCCCCTCGGACGGCCACCGCCGCACCCTCACAGACAGCGCCATCTACACCCAGCCCGCTGCGCCCAAGCAGTGGCATCTGGGCATGTTCGAGATTGGCAAGCCCCTCGGCAAGGGCAAGTTCGGCCGCGTCTACCTTGCCAAAGAACGCACATCGGGCTTTGTCTGCGCCCTCAAAGTCCTCCACAAGTCCGAGATCCAGCAGGGCAAGGTCGAGAAGCAGGTCCGCCGCGAAATCGAGATCCAGTCCCACCTCGCCCATCCCAACGTCCTGCGCCTATTCGGCCACTTCCACGACGCTAAGCGCATCTTCCTGATCCTCGAATTCGCCGGCAAGGGCGAGCTGTACAAGCACCTGCGCCGCGAGCAGCGCTTCCCCGAGTGGAAAGCTGCTCAATACGTCGCCCAGATGGCCTCGGCGCTCAAGTACCTCCACAAGAAGCATGTCATGCACCGCGACATCAAGCCTGAGAACATCCTGGTCGGCGTGCATGGCGAGATCAAAATCTCCGACTTTGGGTGGAGTGTGCACGCGCCCAATAACCGCCGCAGTACCATGTGCGGGACCCTCGACTACCTCCCCCCAGAGATGCTCAATCGCGCCGGCAAGGACAACTACTACACTGAAAAGGTCGATCTGTGGAGTCTGGGCGTCCTCACATACGAGTTTCTGGTTGGCGAGGCGCCCTTCGAGGACACACAGGTCATGACGCAACGCAAGATTGTCCGCGGTGAATACACCGTGCCGGGCTTCGTGAGCGCCGAGGCCAAGGACTTGATCAAGCAGGTACGTTCCATCTTCTCATTCTTTGACAAAACCAGCCACTGACGCGACTTAGCTCCTCGTCCTAGACCCCGAAAAGCGCATCTCCCTCGAAAACGTCGAAAGACACCCCTGGATCATCAAGCACTGCAAAGGCTCCTCGCGCGCCTACGAACGCACCTCTGGCGACAAGTTCCGCAAGAGCTCAGACTAATTCCCGCCCTCCAGGCGTCGCTCACGCGGGATGAAACCCTCGTGCTCGCCTCGTGGGCTGCTGTGTGTAATAGTGACATTTACAATTTGATGGCGTTTGGGTTGGGATTAGCGCATCGTTTGGCGTTGGGACACGGCATTTGGTTTGGCGCTGGGAATCGCATGTGAATAGTCGAGTGGGGTTTTGTTGATGAATGTATATTCCTGAATATGACGTGCTTCATCTGAGTCTCGGCTTTTTGGTATTTGTTGCGTGTTTGGCTGCTGTGCTGCTGCTGGGTTGCGGTTTGCTGGGGAGTGGGTACGTGGAATTCCGGCTTCTTGAATGTGTGGTGTGTAAGACTTGGTCGTGCGCGTTTTCTTGGTAGATATATTTCCTGCTATATAACGCACGACTCACTCTCTTTCTTGCACTCTCTATGTCTGTACCCTACTAAGCGTTGGCTTTTGCTAGTATTTAGCTGTACGGAATGCTGCACTGTGTAAATCTATCTGATATCTTACACCTAGGGGTACTTTATTTTTCAGGGAATGAAGATTTTGGCGTGTAATATATTTGTCACTTCTCTTGTTCCTTCTTCCTTTCTTTTTATTTAACTTTTAATGTCTTACTTCTTATTTTTCTAGCTATATTACACACGCGTCTACATCCGGCAGTGAACATGTATGAAAAAAGTCTATTGTATTGAATCATGGTTTATCCAACACCTAGCTTTTCTCATTGTGTCAATAGACACATATTATACTACTCACTTTTAATCTAACCCTCTTCCCTGCTCTCTATCTCTTCCTCCTTATCGTCTTTCCATCTCCATCCTACTAAGCCTTCCCACTCGCCAGTCTAGTACCCATCTACCCCCTCCCCCCCTCTGGACTACATACACCCTTAATATGCGTTGTATCTCGCTACGGCGTTGGAATAATGCTATCCCACCACATCCACGCGTATGCAGGAGTATCGTAGTTCGTATCTCTAGGTCTAAGAAGTGTTCAGACCTTTGTCAAACACTCGCTTGTGCATTTTCTCGTCTTGGGAATAGTATTGCTGGAATCTCAATATCAGTCTCGATCTCATCTCACTCTCGATCTCACACTACATACCCAAAACCAAAACAAATTAAAGAATAAAAAGCCTTCCAACGCCTGTAATAGAATAGTGAACCACACACATCCCCCAGTGCAGCCCCCCCCCCGCTACGCTGCAGTCTGCATGCGACTCGACTTCGTGACTAAAGGGCTGGATCCTTCTTTCCTTCTTTCCTTCTTTCCCACCCGCGTCACGGATACCTGAGAGATACGCACCTCTATACTACACCCCAGCGCCCCAGCACCCCAGCAAAGTACGAGTTCCAGCGAAGCATGCCCTGCAGCGGGATATGAGTTCCACCGAGATAAGAAGTGCTGTTCCACTCCGCGGGATGACGCACAAACGTCCCGATCCCAGGGACGGACGCGCGTCTACGAGGCGGGGTAAATGTGGTAGAGAGGTGGTGGAGAGGTGGGGACGTTGGATCTACGGGAATCAAAGTGGGAGGGTGAAGTGTTTTGTTAGTTATGTTCTCGGAGACGCTCGCGTCCATGATTAAAAATGCGTTGAGTGTTCTGCTACTCCAATTTCCCAGAGCAAAAGCGGGGGGAGGGGGGTATGAATATCTTCCAGAAGTGGATGACAAGTTGTCATGCCTGTGGTGAGGAAGAGGTGTTTTATGGCGACATATCAGGGGAAGAGTAGCGCCGGGATCAGATGCGTGGCGTTTTACAGAAACAACGGCGGGGGGAATGCATGGAGGCAGTTATCCGCTTCTGGGGAACGAGT